GGAGACCAACAGATCTGGGTGTTCCCAGAAGATTGATACGGCCGGCAGTCCACAGAGTGCCAAGATGGCAGAATCCCAGCCCTGTTATCACCCCCATCATATCCTGCCATCGAGGAGAGGCTCACGCCTCGGATTACGTGCAAAATCCCAACACGCAGAGCAATGGGCTGCTTTTTGGCAGATGCACGGCCGTGGCATTATCAGCACCCCCACGTGTCTGCAGACGTGTGCATTTCCATGTGGATTGGTGCAGCACGATTTTGGAGAAGATTTGGGGTATTCTGAAATGAACGGGCTGCCCCTGGTGTGAAATATACGTGGGAACTCGCCTGTACCGGTTGTACCTGTAGGTGGGAGCCGTGCCTTAGGGCTTGGTTCGGGCGCTTGCATGGTCAGGAAATGTGCTGCGCTTTAGCCTCCCCACAAATGTGCAAACTCATGTGTTTTTGTGCGCGCCAAACTGCATGTTGCTGCAGCACCGTGTGATTTCGGCCCCTTTCACATCTGCATGCTCAGCGGGGGGTCTCTCCACTGATCCACTCAGCAAGCGGATGGCAGGTCTGTGTCCTCTATGGGCAGTCAGATGGAAACGGACCACCTGTCTGTTACCAACCGACTGCCATCCCATCCGATGGACGGAAGGGGAATGGATGCCCATTGGTCTCTTTTTGGCGGATTGGATGTTGGCGGGTGTAAATGGACACATGTCCGTTTACACCCGCTGCTCCATAGAGGAGAATAGATGTTCTGATCAGGTCCGGGTAGGTCAGTGTTTCTCAACTCCAGTCCTCATGGACCCCCAACAGGTCATGTTTTCAGGATTTCCCTCAGATGAAACAGCTGTGGTAATTACTAAGGCAGTGAAACTGATCAAATCACCTGTGCAAAATAATGGAAATCCTGAAAACATGACCTGTTGGGGGTCCATGAGGACTGGAGTTGAGAAACACTGGGGTAGGTTGACCCGATCGGAACATCTTTGTGAAAGGGGCCTTAATGTGTTTTTCCGAAAGAGTCAGGAACTTCTAACGTATAGGGCAGCCTTTAAGTCAACTAATGAGGTCAGGTGTGCACAACAGACTCAGCTGCAGTGTTGGGGTATGACCAGCAGATGGCTACATTTCGGAATAGTGCTTTCCAATAGTGAGGGAAAAAAGTGGATTCCACTGCTGATATATATATATACCCTGATATAGGAATGGATTTCATGGTTTATTTGATTGGTTCTCTTGTATCTCTGCTCCACCCAGAAATAAATCCATCACTCCGTCACTTTTTGAATTTGGTTCCTCTCTCTTGCAGGAAGCCGAAGCTCAGGCGAACAAGGAAGCGTGAATTCCCCGCACCGTTCCCCAACCTCCAATCAGAACCTTCAATGCTTTCCAGAACATCTAACTTCCTAACATGCAGCCTGGTGCCCCGCCCCCTGCGCAATGCGTCCTGTCCGCTATCGAATTCCTGTTGTTCAAATGTTATGGAAGCTTGCTTGTGGACGATGCCAAGTTTTTCCTTTAGTTTCTGCGAAAATCTCACCACCAGAATAGAATATTCTGACCGTACGTGGATGAATCCTTCCGATTGAGGTAGAAATCGATACATCGTCAATGACCAGGATCTGATCGATCTGATACATCAATGACCAGGATCTGATCGATCTGATACATCAATGACCAGGATCTGATTGATCTGATACATTAATGACCAGGAGCTGATCAGTTTGATACATTATCAATGACCAGGATCTGATCGATCTGATACATCAATGACCAGGAGCTGATCAGTTTGATACATTGTCAGTGACCAGGATCTGATCAATCTGATATATTCTGATACATTATCAATGACCAGGATCTGATCAGTCTGATACATTGTCAGTGACCAGGATCTGATCAGTCTGATACATTGTCAGTGACCAGGATCTGATCAGTCTGATACATCATCAATGACCAAGATCTGATCAATCTGATACATCAATAACCAGGATCTGATCAATCTGATACATCAATAACCAGGATCTGATCAATCTGATACATTCTGATACATCATCAATGACTGGGATCTGATCAACCTGATACATTCTGATATGTCATCAATGACTGGGATCTGATCAGTCTGATACATTGTCAGTGGCCAGGATCTGATCGGTCTGATACATTCTGATACATTATCAATGATCAGGATCTGATCGGTCTGATACATATCAATACATCGTTAATGACCAGGATTTGATCAGATCCTGGTCATTGACAATATATTGATATGTTTCAGACTGATCAAATCCTGGCCATTAACGATGTATCCGCTTGATCAGTCTGAAACATATTGATACATTGCCAATGACCAGGATCTGATCCATTCTGATACAGTATCAATGACCAGGATCTGATTGATCTGATACATCATCAATGACCAGGATCTGATTGATCTGATACATCATCAATGACCAGGATCTGATTGATCTGATACATCATCAATGACCAGGATCTGATTGATCTGATAC